TTGAAAAAATATATCATAAAATTTAGTATTCATATTTCCAAATGGGAATACACTCTTAAGGCTTGATTTTGGAATCGCTAGGTAATACCGTACTTTTTTTTCTCTTTCGCCATTATTTACCAATATAAAATCAGGGTGCGAAAAATACGCAAATTTGTTCAAAGGTACAATTGTACCAGTATTTATTCCTACGGTGTTCCTTGATTAACAGAAGAAGTCATGATTTCACAAGACAGATTCAATATTTAAAAAAATTCACATACATACGTCAACAAAAATACAGCGCCTACGGAAGAAGTCTTGTATTTTCTCTGCGAAAAATGCTCGAACATTATTTTTCTCCTAAAAACATCTCGCACAAAATAAGGGTGTAAAAAAGTACGCGCGGAAATATGGTATTTAGGGATGCATGAAATGCGCCCTCAGCTTTGATTCGGTCCCAATGGAAAAAGCGTAAAATGCCGTGTGCAACCCTGGTTATCACTGCATCAATCTGTGCCCTCTACTTAATGCTTCAAATTTACGGCCTAGCTACATTTCCTTCCATCGACTATACGTTGCGCGACTATAAAACACACCGTGAGCCGCATGGATTTTCGACAACGCTTCACGCATCGCCTGGTGAATTAAGCAGATTTTGTCGCGGCAATAAACGCGCCTCTCTATTAATAATTCATGCAGCGGAGACTGTCGTGAAATGGAGTACCATCTCGAAGAACTCTCCGTCGCGTTCGATTTCGAAGCTGATCTTTAAGAAGAGCGAAGATTTAATCCGTTTGTGCGGAATCGACTCTTCTCGGGGACGTTTATTTAGAGTGTCTTTCGAGAGTGAGTATCGGGGGCAAGAAGGAGTATCTTCTAATTCCGTTGGGCAAAAAGGGATAGGGTCCTCGAATTCTAGTATCGAGCTATGGAAGCTCGAGTGCCTCGAGTGTCTTGCATTTCGCGGTGGATCAAGTTGACGAGAGGAGATACCGCGAACCAATTATACCTCGCAAAGGGCTTTCGTATCGATGGGTTAAAGTGCGTTTACCCCGGGGGGGAAGAGAAAACCCGTAAAGAACGGGAGAACGACGTTGGAATGTAATAATACGCGGTTTAAAACGCACGATAGGCGCACAAGTGCGGAGACGTTTTGACAAATGGCTCTCCGCGGCGATAATTGCTCGGTTGTTCGCGGAAAATATACGACTGGGTAAACAGGAAGGATGCAGCGGCGGAAAAGGATGAAAAGCGGGCGAGAATAGGAAAAGAGGAACACGAGATTCTCTGTGAAATGGCCAGTTTATGAGGCAGGTGTTACTTTTACGTTCCGCTAATGCTTCTCGTCCTGCCTACCATCTAGCATCGACGCTTTTATGCTCGTTTCTATTTTAAAATTCATTATCCCGTTCTGTGTTCGCGGTGAATATTTAAACGCCCTCGTCGAAAACACTCGTGTGTATATTTGTCCAGAAATGTTATCGCTGTTTAAACTTTATACGCCATTCTCGTTCAAGCTCACGGTGCACTATACTGCCGATATACACAGTGGACCAGAAGTCAGGTACTATTAGGTTCTCCGGAAATAAATTGCGGTTTCTGTACATGAGATTTAAATTTCCATTAGATTCTATACACTTTTTCCAACGTTTCACAAGAGTTCCTATTCCGTTACAATAAAAGTCAGGAGTTCTAGAATTAACAAATTCCACGAAGGTATTTATTGCGGAAGATTTTTTCTCGCAAAAAGTTGTCGAAATGTTTAAAAAAATGGTAATCTGTAGGGGACAAGTCGGGGGAATAAGGAGGGTGTTTTAATGTTTCATAACCCAATTCGTGTATCTTCCGAATCGTGAATTGTGATACGTGCGGGCGGGCGATATTGTGTAGGAGTATTGGTCCCTTACGATTTACCAAACTTGCTTGTTTAACAAATAACTTCTTATGCATTTCTTCCAGTTCCTTACAATATTTTTCTGAAGTAATAGTTTCATTATTATTT